ATAGTAATAACATGGAAAAATATAAGATGATATATGTGTATATGATATATATGGGTATTTATTTAAGACTTGTAAAACATGTCATACATATTGTCTCATTTAAGCCTCGCAACTACTCTGTGAGATAAGTGCTCTAAGCACAATTTTAAACCTCTTTTTAACCCCATTTTACAGATGAGGAAATGGAAGCTGAAGGAGGTTAAGGAATAAGTCAAATAAGAATTTGACCCCTTGTCTTTCTAGACTTTAAGTCTAGCAATCTATACTACATTGCCTCTGAAATATTTTAAAAATTGTCATGTAAGAGGATTAAACTTTTTCTGCTTGGTTACACAGGACAGAACTAAGAACCATCGGTAAAAAATAACAAAGAGACAGAGCTCAATTCAATGTATGGAAAAACTTCCAAACCAATAGAGCTATTCAGAGATAGAATGGACTATTTTCATAAGTTTGTAGTTTATTAGCATTAATAACAGCATGGATTTGGGATGGGGGCCTATGAATTTATTGGCATAGGAATCTTTCAGTGAGAACCTTACACCAATGCAGGCCACACCTTCTTTGCAACTTAAATTAGAGTCTTAGAGAGTTATTTTATGTCCTGAGGAGTTAAATGACTTCCCCAGGGTCATGCAGCCAGTATGTGCCAAAGAGAATACTTGAGTTCAAGTCTTCCTCATTTAAAATCTTATTTATTTTTTGTCATTGTTGTTAATATTATTAATAGCGTTGTTACTACAGTGAGTATTCAGTGGAGGCTTGAATGCCTACTTGTCGAGGACAAGTGTCCTGGGGATACCATACAGGGAATGATTGGTTCATGCATGAGTTGGAATACATGACTTCTGAGTTCCCTTCCAACTCAGACTGAAAAATCACTGAATAGAATGATGAAACTATAAGCATGCTTAAAAACTACTCAGAATATTTCTGTATACTAGTTCTAACTTTCCTATGAAAGGACACAGTTATAATTTTATTGATTAACAGTTTAGATTACAGAAAAATGGGAACTGATTACAAAGTTCTTTTTATTGTGTATGGAGTGAGAAAAGCAATATAAAGTTAGTTAATAGTCAACACATTTTTTTGCAAGAACATGGAGAAGTGATAGGTTTTCACTAAACAATACTAAATCTTGAATATCTAAAGGGAGGAAAGTGAGAACACTACCAATACATTATCGCTATATTTAATGGATGTTTTCCCTAATGTGAATCACTCACAATTGATTCATGCTCACTTTCATCCTGGACCCTTTGCTCTGCACTAAAGGGGACAAAGACAGTTGGCTGGTTTGGTCATTTTTACACTTTCCTCCCTCCTTTCCAATGTGCCTGTTTCCAACTCACTGGCCTTGTAATGTTATCAATTCAGCTGTAGCCATTACAGAAGTGAAGATGAATTGTTCAAAATGAGTGATTTAGCAGTTTTCATCGAACACATTCAAAGGTAATAACTCTTCCCACCAAAAATGAATGAATGAGTAAAAAAATGTCAAAAGCCATCAGATGAAATAATGTGAGCCATACTCTTTGAGGCTGTACCCTTTTTTGCTTCTTTGTAGAAATATGTCCCTTTTCCAAAAATAATGCCTCAATCTTTAACAAGTGATTAATCTTACTGCTACACATCTTCTGATATTGTAATACTAACAAGATGCATGCCTTGTTAGAAAAGGAGATAGAAGAAACGTGGCAAGATAAGACATCTACCTCTAGGAACCAATTTAGACTAACGGGAATCTTCCCTGTCAAACATACCTATTAGATGATATACAGATAGTTTTGGAAAAGCTAACATCTACAGATTCAATTTATTTATTTATCGTTCTATGGAAAGTAAAGTTGCCATACCCATTTTAATCAGTGCAATTTTACAAATAACTCAAATACATTTTCAAAAGAAGTCTTAATCATAAAAAACTTTAGCCAGAGTTTTCAAATGTCATTAAAACTTGCTATTTTTTAGGCTATCTTAAACTGAGAACTTATGCACAACTTTTGTAAGAAGAAAATTCTCCCAATGGTGACTCACATCAGTACCTTGGACTGCTCAGTCTTACTTGAGCTCAGTTTTGTTGCAAAAACAAGCAGACAAATGTTCTGTCTTATCAAGTCATGGCATACCATATGCCAAGCTAAATCGTATGTTGATTTCCAACCCTATATGTCCATGATATTTGTGCATACTCTTTTCATACTCATTATCTCTAGAGTCAAGTAAATAAGAGTTCTAAAATTACTGTAAATCATTTCTTTGAGTCTACCTTACCCATAATAGTATTCTACAGTTAGCTTGAAATTAAAAATTAAGCAATGAAATAAAATGAATAAAAGTTTTTCAATAGTTGAAAATTTTGTTTCTTTGTTTTTGCTTGGATTAACATTATTTTGATTATGAATGAAAATTAATAGAAGAGGTTTCAAGTCTCCTACTACTGAGTATTAGTCAATGACAAAATATATCAAATGATAATATAATTGGTGTTGTTCACTGAAAATAAACTTGGCTTCTCAAGGTATAAAACTATTTCTGCTTCCATGAAAAGATGTTGATTTCCTTTCCCTCTGTTTTGTACTTATGCCAATCACTTAAAATAGGAAATAGCAATATTTTCTATGATTTTTAAGTCCAACATTTAAATTAGATGCCCCATACTCAATGGTTTGCTGACCAACACTAACATTCTACGTACTTTTAGACATCATGATGATGATGGGTATGTGATCCTCTGTACTATAAATGACACTTAAAAGGATCATTAGTAGGTAGGGTAGGTACACTGAGTTGTTTTTCCAGCAGTGTGAAGGATTTACACTGATCAAATGAATTAATGCATAAAGTGCATTATTGCAAAACTAAAAGCACTTTAAAAATGCTAGTTTTATATTATGATCCACCTTTACTTTTATGTCATTTCACTGTAGCTAACAGAAGCCCATTTTAATTAGCTTGCTAGGTGTTGTTATGATAGGTATCATTGTCATGATACCTGTTTTGTTTTACTTCATTCCAAAAACTGTAAGCACCAGTCATCGTAAATGTACATGTGCTTGATAACATGAATACAAATTACCTCAAATATACTTTTGCTGGTATTAAAAACAAAACAAACAAAAAAAAACTCAAAGAAAATTGTGTTCATGCAAATGCACCCAGAAGAAGATCAGAATTTGGAGTTAATGTAACTAAAGATTCAGCTTCCAAGCTTCCTCAGGTGTTATCTAGTCTCAAACCTCTCATTTCACAGCTGAAGAAAGTGAGGCCCAGGAAGGTAGATTAGGAATTTGCCCTAGGTCACACAGGTAGTAAGTAGCAGAGAGGAGATTTGAATTCAGTCCCTCTGATTCCACAGACAGTATCTTTAGAGGACATTCAGACCAGGCCTTTTATTTTACAGACAAAAAAAAGCCTACAAAAGTGAAATGACTTAGCCAAGGTCACACAGATTGTGAGTTGGAGAGGCAAGATTCAAACCCAGGTCCAAAGCTGAACTCTAAATCTTCTCACATAGCTTGCCTTCTACTTATTGTTGTCTGAAATTATTCTCTGAGTGTTTGATTACTATTAAATTTCACAAAAGGATATGGGGTCACATATTACCAAGCTGACTTTTGATTTATTAAAAAAAAATAAGTGTTTTTTTTGGGGGGGGGAGGCAAAGGAACACCAATTTGCAGATAAGGTATTTTAGTACTCTCAAAAGCTTTATTTCATGTAAAAATAATTAAACAGACTGCATTGCATGATCTGAAGTGAAGTAATGGAAAAGTCTCAAGGAAATCTCAGGAAAAAGGGGGAAAATCTATAAATAGAGATAACCTTGCTCTACCAACACTAAAAATGTATTTACCAATCACTTTGTAATGTTTACATTTAGCGCCCTCTAGTGGATCTCATCTACAGTGGTGCAAATCTCAGCATTTTCCTTTCTTTTGTTTTGGGGATTTTACTACAGCATTCTGAACTAAGTAGGTCAATATTTAAATATTTCATGTACATAATAACTGCTCATGTTTATTTTTATTGCCATGCTCTTGTGCTCAGGAATTCTCAAACTCAGTTAATTCTTTTAATCATCTCATAACTCTGAGGTTTATTGTCCTCAAACTCAGGTCTTATTTTAAAAGCTATTGAGAACCTGTAGTAAATATCTATATTATTTATATTATTTATATGCTAATGACAAATTTTAAGAAATAAGCTCAATAAAAAGAGCATCTCCTTCTACCTGCATCCCTATGTCTGTTTTCAGGATGAAGGGATACATACTCAACAAATTTGAATGCCATACTATCAAAACACCTTTAGTAATGCTTAAAACAACACTTTTTTTAAAAAAAAAAAGGATGTTTTTTACTCTGAATTATTATTTCTTATGAAGTCAAATAACATCAATTGGTTTTACATTTTTAGCATATAATTTCAAGTTTCAGTGTTTCCACAGGAAAAAAAAAAAGTAGATCATAGACTTGAGCCAAATCCACTTTAAAAACTTGACAGGTACTTTGAACAGCAATTGACTCTCTAGGCTATTGCTATGATATCCAAAATAAGTAAGGGGAATTTTAAATTTCGTAAGTAGTAGCCTGATATCAATTATAGTAGATTATAACCCTTCCCCCCGACTTAGAAACCAAGAGAGCTACTACCACTTTCTTAAAGCTTCATGTTCCCCCACCCCCACCTTCTCCAGCAAACACATTTGAATGCCCCTTTCCTAACATTTGACATTATTTCCCTGGTAAGCAAAGTCATTCCAGTTTTACAAGGCAATACAGTAAAAAAAAAAAAAAAAAAAAAAAATACTAACGATAAGCTAATTATGGGCTGTGCTGTGAGGAAATAAGAAGAAAGCACAGAAGTATTTTTTAATTAAGGTTTGATGTGTTCCTTGCAATTATGACCACTTACAGTACCATATAACCAAGTATCGAGAGAATTTATGAGCTGCTGAGTTTCGAGGATTAGAATCCCAAACCTTATTGACTTACCACTGTTTTCCACCAAGTCCGCTAACTCTGAGTGCAGCGAGGGATGCGGGAAGTTTTGGCTTCCAAGAACGCCAGCTGCTGTTTCCACAGCACACACAGGTGCACGCTAGAAAACATTTGCAAACACTTCACGAGATCAAGTCAAAATAAAGAACAAAAAAAAGGCAGCGGGTGGGGAGTAATTTGTCATTCGCCTCCCTCCCACCAAATTAAGACGTGTCTCAATAATTAATTCAGAAACTCTAAAAATAAAAGGTAGGCAGAAAAGAACTTACCTTTAATTCTATTTCAAACAGCAGCAATAACCAGAATACAACCCAGCTCCTTAAGGTCATGGCGATAGCCCCCCAGTGCCCTTCCTCTAAATTAAAACCGCTTACTACAAGACGAAAAATACACCACTAAGACACCTAAACAGTCCCTTTCTTCATATCTTAGAGCTTCAGATAAATTGAATTATGGCGTTATTCATCCAATTGAACTTTGAAGTGTCTTTAGGGCAAAGTATTCTTGCCACAGCTGCACCGTTTGCAAATCTGCCAGAGAGACAATTCAATACCATCTAATGCAAAAGGTTATTTCACTGGCTTGAACTCGGGTGCCAGTAAGTGTTATTATTGTTCTTTCACACCGAAAGAGGGGTGGCAGCGGCAGCAGCAGCAGCAGCAGCATTAGCTGGGAACCCTCAGAGCTGCAGGAGAGGAGGGGGAAGAGGAGGAGGGGGAGGGAAGAGAGACGGGGAGAAAGAGGAGGAGGGAGGCAGGCAGGAGGAGGAGCAGGAGGAGCTGGGAGGTAGGTCCAGAGCCCCCACTGGGACAACAGCGAGGAGCGGGTGGCAGAGGACGATGGGTTGGCTGCAGAATGAGAGGAAAGGAGGCCAGAGGGTGCTACCCGTTTGCCGATGCAGGATTCACTCTGCCAGTCCGTCCCATGTGAACTTCGGCAGCCACAGCAATTCACCCAGTCGCCTCCACTCCTCCCCTCCCTTTCCTCAGCTCCTCTTTCTAATCCTGGCCAGTAGCTGGCTCCTCTTGAGTGACAGACCTGCCCAGCCAACTGAGAATCACAGCACCTGTGGCAAGGGCCAGGGAGTAGGGGGTTGGACATGCACCCTGCTATTCCCAGGCAGGCATTCCGCTTAGGTGTCTCTGGCTCCTTTTCCTTAGCCAGCATTAGTATACACACATCGATCAAGCTCATCACGGGCCTCAAGGGGACAGAAAGGTGATGGAATCACCTCTTGTCTCCCAGCAACTTCTGATCCTGGCTAAGCGCTGCTGAGGAGCTGATGTGGGTTAGCCCCAGCCAGCGATGAGCAGAAAGAAGAGGCAGAACTAGTCAGAACCGATTTGAAAACATACATTCAAACTAAACTGCCACAAACTGCTTTTGAGTTGGACTCAGAGGAACGCTAAGATCTCTGGCAGCAACTCTGATCCTGAGCTGCTGATATTTCTGGAAGAATACAAACCGCAAGGAAGGGTCACTTTCGAATCTCTAGGGAGGAAAGTTGTAAGAACTGAGGAGTGGTTACATGAATCACCTGAGTTTAAAATTGTCCCATTTCTCACCTTTTTTTTTCTTTCTTTCTCACCTGAGTTTCGTCTTTCTCATATCCATTCTTTCTGGGTTTTTTTTCTTTTCCCCTCTTTTCCTCTACTTTCTCTAAGTCTGTCTTTTTTTTTTTTTTTTTTTTTTGCCCTCAAGCATCCTGAAGTTTTGTTTTAACTGATCCAGTAGCTGGATTTAATTGCCTTTTTTTTTTAAAGTTATCATGCATATTCATTCCTCTACTGTTCATCCTGCCACCTGTATCCTAAAATTTATCTTTCTGGTGTGGCCAACCATGGTACCCTAGCCAAGTGGATGGACCACTGCACTATGCAGCGATTCAGAGTAGAGGGAGAGGTTAGAGAGGTGGAGCAGGCACTAAAACAGAGGTAAGATACTTATTATATTTAATCTGCTCCTTAACAAAAGAGTAGGGCTGACTGTGATGGTGACTGGGACTGATACATGGCACTTCTAAGACTAGTGTGGCACCATAGTGACCTCCCATTCCATACACCCTTTCTGGGGGGAGAGGGTATATGATACTGAAGCAGAGAAATGATACAGTGGGGAGAGTTCTGGACTTGGAGTCAGGAAGACTTGAGTTGAAATCCTTCCTTCAGATATTTACACATTTGCTAGCTGTAGGGTCCTGGGCAAATCATTTAACTTCTGCCTCAGTTTCCTCATCAGGAAAATGGGGATAACAGTAATAGCTACCTTACAGGGCTTTTGTGAGAATTAAATGAGATAATATTTATAAAATACTTTTACATATTTTAAAGCACTATATAAATGTGAGCTATTAGCTATCATCTGTCCAAGTTCTTTTCCTTACCATACTTCTTCCTTTTATTATTGATGTTCTTTTATTAGTCAGATTCTAAGTGTGTTTAAAATACTCTGTGTGAGTGTGTGTGTGTGTGTGTGTGTGTGTCTGGGGCAGGGTGGGGTGGGGGTAGGGGAATGGAATGGTACTAGACGGGTGACCATGTGTAATTCACTTTGTCTCTGTAAGCTTCAGTTTTCTCCTCTGTAAAGGAGGGATAATAATACCCTTGGTTATTACCTCACAGAGTCACTGTGAGGCTCAAATGACATTATGGATGTAAAGCAGTTGGTGAACCTCCAAGTATTATAGAAATGTCAGTTATTTGTTCTAGGGATCAAATACTCTGCCCTTCTCTTCTCACCTGTGCCTCCCATTGCCTGTTTTTAAAGCTTAAGTTGTTTGCCTATAGCTTCCCAGATGTATTTCTTTCCACAAATATATTTCCTTTAAGTATTGGACTTGAAGTTAGAAGAGACCTGGGTTCAATTTCTGCTTCTCCTATATATTACTTTTGTGACCATGGGCAAGTCACATTTCTTTAAGCCTATTTTCTTATCCCAGTGGAATTAAAACTTCTAGAGAGCAAAGCATACTTCACTTCTTCATATCCCTAGCACCCAGCACAGTGCTTGGAACAAAGTAGGTGCTTAAGAAATTGAGTGCTTATCAAATTGAGTGTAACAAGTAAAACAGGGATAACAGTATTCACATGACAGGATTCTTGTGAGTCAGATTTTTTTTTTTACAAATCACATAGTAAATTTTAAAACACTACAGAATTTTATTGTTATCACAGAGCCTTACACATAATAGATACTCAATACATTTTTTGTTGAATTTAATTTAATTGCTATTTTCCCAAGTGTAGCAACACTCAGAGCATTTGAAGTCCAGAGGAGCTCCTGAATCTGATAGACAACATATTGTCTTCTCTGACTTATAAGCTCCATTTTCTTGGGAAGCTCTTTGCAAAACAATTGAAACCATTGAAAAAAAATGGAAGTGTTTGGAGATTTTAACCCCTTGACCAAATGTATGTTTGCCAGAGTTTAAATTTCCTCAGCAACAAGAGGGCTGGTTGAAATATCAAGTCTGATGAGATTCCTTCAACAGAAAACAAATTATTCCTTTGCCACAAATAAATACATGAATAATATATATTACATGTTTGATACATATGAATCTCTACTTAACAGTGCATCCTTTAGAGATCACAGGACCCATATGTCCAGTATAAAATTAAAAGGAATCAGATTTCCTTAATCCTAATTACTCTCACATGTAGAAACCCAAAGGCGCTCTTGTTCATAAGTTCAAACAGAAGGAAGGAAGGAAGATAGTCTGATTTAAAAGGAATCACTTTTAGGACAAATTCTCTTACAGAATAAAACCAGGAATTGCTTAATAGCTCCCTTACCATTGTGAGAGGAGAATAAAGCAGGCTTTTCTGAACAGGAATGTGGTTTCTCCAACTTGTTCAGCTGTAGGGATAAGCATCAAAAGCAGCTTCCTACATTATAGTAACAATGTCACAAGTATCCAGGGATTTGACTAATGCAAGTCCAAGTCTGCAATTTAGGTATTTCCATTTTTTATTTGAACTATGACTAAAACCATTCTAGCTTGACTCTGCAAATCAACAGCAATACATCTGACTTCTGCTTTGGCTAGGAAGGATCTCCTAGAGAAGGTTATTTTAAGAGAATATGATTAAATGGCATGACTCTGAAACACCTAAAGCTCCTTAAATTCTTTATAGTGAGCCAGGGTAGTGGCAAGATCTACTGCAGCCACTAAGGCTAGAAATACTTTTACTTTAACTTCTGTTTGAAATCAAAGCATTGGAGTGAGTTTGATTATGTTTTAAGAAAGAAATACTTTGAAACTGCTTTTCTCATGCTTGGATTCAATTTGGTGACCTGCTCTTAAAACTAAAATGAATAATGAGGCCTATAAAGATTGGCAATTTTTTACATACGATCTTAGCTTGCAGAATATATATAAACACATATACATATATATACACTATATATATGTGTGTGTATATATGTATGTATGTGAAAATATATATATATATATACATATATACACATTACACACACACATATAATCATCCATCCATTCATTCATATATTGACTACCTGCTATTCTCCATCCAGAAGTATTAGAGAATAATTAAATTTTTTTCATATAGAGAAGCTTTAATATTTTATTACATTTTAACATTCCCATTCAATGTACTGCTTATTCAAGTTGGGTAAATACTGGGATCATCTTGGAAATCTAAAGCACTTAAGTACACATGGCAGTTCTCTTGAAACTCCTTGGACTTTTGTATTCACACAGTAGCCCACTCCTCTGCTTGTTGAATAGGATGAATGAAAAACACTTTGAAAACACTGATACAGAGTAATCTCCAGCATGTGCTGAATCGTAGACTTCTGTGTCTAAAGGCCACAAAGCATTAGCAGACATCAGACAAGGGCAGTATGCTCTGCCTAGAACCAGGTGGTGAACAGGTTTATAGATTTTTTTTTATAACAATGCACTTTTTTGTAATGCTTTGAGGTTCACAAAGCACTTTCAGCACCCCAACCCTCTGAGACAAGTAGTACAAAGTGTATCTACGTTTTACATGAGCAAAAATAAGACTCAGATGTTGCCCATTGTGTTCTGTAGATAGTAAGTGCCATAGTTGGTGCTCAAATACAAGTTTCTAGCCTCTTCCTACTAGACCATTCTCTCTCTCCCTCTAATTAATATTCTTTTTTTCTTTTTGTAACTGGGGGGTATAGGGAGAAAACTGGTGTGAAGAAGGGCACCTGACCACTATTTTCAAAAGGTAACCTTGATTACTGTTTATACTTGTTCAGTAGAAGTACAGGTGCAAAGCCTGTGGTATGGATCACCACAGGTCAAGACAAGTGTGAGCAAAGAGCAGCCCCTAGGTAG